TCGGTCTCAAAGACAAAGACGATGCATTCTGATCACAAGTATTGTGATTAATGTGGACATGTTTCCTTGTAAAATATTTCAGTTTGGTGTTTTAAAATCTGAACACCTGTGGTGTTGCCAGAAAGGGGAAAACCTATTCTCATATTTTGGTACTAGTTTCTGAATATTTAGTTGTACTCAAATCGTGCAGATAAGTGTTTTTTGGGATTTGCTGATGGGTAATAACCGATGTTCATAAACAAAATTTTACTTGAACTGGACAGGTGACAGTGGAAATAAAGATGAAGGAGCAAAACAAATGTCTCCTGCTATGGGAAGATGACATTGCCAACACCTAACTTTCCATTGCTAGACCAATCCTCTAAATTTTAACCGGCAACATCGATTGACCTGGATTTCTTACAAAAAACCTCCCTTTGCGTGTGCTCCCCTGGCCAGATGGGGTCCGCACGGGACCATACAAACAACTCTTCCATCCGGAACAGCTGATCAGTGGCAAGGAGGATGCAGCCAACAACTACGCACGTGGCCATTACACGATTGGCAAACAGATAGTTGAGACTGTTGTGGACAGGATCCGCAAACTGGTAATTATTTGTCATTCCTCTTCCTTGGACGTACCATCACTTCTGGATGCATTGCTGAAGCTGGCCACAGACGTACAATGAGGTGTTCAATATAGGAACTCGACGGTGATGTCGGACCATTTGCAGATTTTAGGATGCTGGTCAATGTGGTATGGTAATAGAGCCAAAATTATGTTAGCATTGGGGGGTTTCAGATATGCACCTCCACAAATTATGATTTTTTTTTCTTGTTGTTCGTCTGTAGCCACATGTACTTTGAACAGTTCAACAGATGCGAAACCACAACTGAACTTAAGTGTTCTTATAATCTGTATTGCCTGCAAATAATCAGTTGAAGAAGATGAATTGAATTTACATTTTTCTGGGAAGCATTTATCCAGCAATGAATAGGTCGAGGTATGGCCATCAATCTCGCCTCTGGATGGTGGGCAATTAAGTTTTTAAAATATTCACATTGAGGTTTTTTTATTCTGTTTAATGTTTAATTCTGAAGCTGGGATAAGTTGTAGCAAGACTTGCAGAACCTTTTTTAAATTGGTATATTTTGAAGTGTAGTGGGCTTCCTAACAAGTGCATCCTGTAGCGAGGTATAATGCTGTATATTCACACCAGTTGTGCTCCAGAGGCTCGTGCTGTGCTTTAAAAAAGCATCCTTTACATTGCAATTTGTGACAGTTAATCCCACAACTCGAAAGCTATATATTTTGGGACTATTGGCCATATGGCAAACTCAAATCTACTAACTTGTGGATTTGTAGAACCTAGTCTTGGTCAACTGTCATCTTCTTTAGACTAATTTAATCGTAGTCTACCTTGGCAGGCAGTGAGTATTAAAAAATCCTGGCTTTATGATTGTGGAATCTCCACCTAGCTCTGGACTTCCAATGGAGATGAGTGCTCCATGTCTATTTGAGTTTGGGAGGGCTTTGCTTTAGAAGTCCTTAAATTAGGGTAGCCTCACTGAGCCACGAAACCATTTTAAGATTATATTCTGTATTTATAGAGTGCCTTTCACCAAGGCGCTTAACAATGCTTGCTGACTACAGTGACAAATGACAAAGTAAGGAATTGGGTAGTGACTAGGGTGGAAGGAGCGATGTGGTGGAGGCATTGCATGCATTGTGGTGCTAGTAGGGGTAGCGAAAGAGGAAGGGAAAAGGTAAAAGATAGGACCTGAGGACGGTGTGAAAAGCGAGGGGGGGGGGGGGGGTGTCGGTGGTGGAGAGGTAGTTTGTTCCAGCGCGTAAGGGGGCAAGCAAGTAGGAGTTAAAGTGATTGGGCGCAGGGTGGAGGGACCGCCAGACGGTAGGCAGCTTGTGACTGGAGCAGGCGTGATCGGACAAGGAAATTAGAAGACTGTTCAGGGGGGCCTAGTCTATGCAAAGCTTTGAAAACTTGAGTAATATAAAGAGGCAGTGGTGATAGATAGGAAGCAACTGAAGTTGATTGCGAGGAGAGCAACGAGTGGTTAAGGGGAGGTTAAAGATGGTTGGTGTAGCTGATTTTTGACTTTGTAGAGGGGCAAGGGCATAGGGCAGAGATGCTGACCAGGAGCGAATTGCAATAGTCCAAACGTGAAGACTCGGGAGTGCACAAGAAGTTTGGCGGCGGTGATAGTGGGGCGAATTTTCCTGATTCATTGAAAAGATTGAAGCAGCATATGCTAGTGGTGTTGGCAACGTGGAGGTAAATGAGGAATCAAAAGTGACGCCAAGAATATGGACGGAAGCAATCGGAGTTGGACTGAGCAGAGGGAAGGGTTAGGAGGAGGAGAGCGAGAGGTGGGAAAGTAGAGCACTGTTATTTTAGAAGGGAAATGTTGCTTCATCCATGCTTGGATGGCCATTAGGTGTGGTCAGAAAGGTCAGGGGTAAAAGCCTTAAAGGAAAATAAGATTTGAGTGTCATCGGCAAGTTGGTGATACGAAAGATTGAAAGAAGAGAGGATGGGATCGAGGTGGGGATGTGTAGAAGGAGACTAGGAGAGGAGCAAGTACAGAACCCTGGGGGATTCCAACCATGACGGAGGGAGAGGAAGAACAAAGGTTAAGAGACGGTGGATGAACGAGAAGTGTTGGGGTAAGAGCAGCGTCAATGAAGTGGGATTCCAGAGATGTTGCCATTGGATGGTGGATAAGATGCAGTGCTAAAGGGTGTCAAAAGCCGCAGGCAGGTTGTGAAAATGATGACCATGAAAGACCCAAGGTGGTGTGAGTTAGCCAATTGGTTGTGCACCTGGAGGAGAGCTGTGTCGGTGGAGTTGGGCGGATGGAAACCAGACTAATGGAGGGGGTGAGGAAGTGAGTTGGGTGTGAACGAGGCTTTCGAGGAGTTTGGAGTAGGAAAGCAAGGAAATGGGGCGATAGTGTGCAGGGCTGGAAGGATCTAGTGAAGGATTTTTTTTTCCAGGAAGGGGTAGAATGTTGGTGGTTTTGAAGCAGTTTGGGAAGATGCCAGATGAGAGAGAAATTGAAGAGCTTGAACGGGAGGATAATAGGGATGACAGATGGAAGAAAGGAAGGCGGTCGGTAGAGGGGGTCAAGGGAGGAAAAGGTCTAAGTTTTAGAGACGTTTGATAGCTCCAGGAGGGACGCAGGGAAAAATTATTTAAAGGCGGATGAAGAATTGGAGGGAGGAGGGGTACGTATGATGCTGGCAGGAAGGGAGGTAGTGAGGAGAGAAATTAATTTCAGAGATCTTCTCGTATTTGGAGAGGACAAAAGGGCGGGGGACGGAATATTTTTTTTCACCTATTAACGGATGCTTGTGTTGCCGAAAGAACCAGAGTATGGATTCCTGCAGTAACGAAAGCTTCAAATCAAGATGTAGTCGAGTTTTAAGGTAGAAAATAGCAGAGCAGGGTGCGTGGAAAATCCAACGATATAAGGGATTGGTGAGAAGCCTCTAGTGTGGAATTGAAGTCCTGACAATACGGAGATGCAAGTCGAGTGGGAATCGGTAGTGTGTTCAGGGTCTTCCAGGTTAGCTCGGCTTTGCGTATGAGGTGACGTTAACTATTTAGCCCAGGTGTTGGCCAAGGCCTAGGAGGATTCGGAGGAGAGAAGAAAGGCAGCAGAGGTGCCAGGGCGTCTGAGTTGGATAGTGCAGAATGTACAATGGATGATGCTTTGTCTGGGTGTAGGTAGAAGAAATCGGGTAAGGATGGTAGGTTAGTTGAAACTAGATAATGAACTGCAGATGAGTCAATGGATCAGAGGTGAAGATGGCTGTGCAGTGATGTTTGCCGGTTACGAGAGGTTTTACTGTTGCATCTGAACTTGACTCGAGTCCCCCGACTTTCACTTTATATTAACGCCCCTTTTATTTCAACCTCAGTCTGAGCGATGCACAGGACTCCAGGGATTCCTGCTATTCCACAGCTTTGGCGGCGGCACAGGCTCTGGCTTCACGTCGCTGCTCATGGAGCGCCTCTCCGCAGATTATGGGAAGAAGTCCAAGCTGGAGTTCTGCATTTATCCCGCGCCACAGGTGTCCACGGCTGTCGTGGAACCCTACAATGCCATCCTCACCACCCACACCACCCTAGAGCACTCGGATTGCTCCTTCATGGTGGACAACGAGGCAATCTATGACATCTGCCGCAAGAAACTGGACATCGATTTTCCGTCGTACTTCAACCTGAACCGCCTCATCGCCCAGATGGTGTCGTCCATAACGGCCTCGCTGCGCTTCGATGGCGCGCTCAACGTCGACCTCAATGAGTTCCAGACCAACCTGGTGCCCTATCCGCGCATTCATTTTCCACTGACCACCTACGCGCCGGTCATCTCGGCTGAGAAGGCCTACCACGAGCAGCTGTCCGTCGCCGAGATCACCAACGCCTGCTTCGAGCCGTCGAACCAAATGGTGAAGTGCGACCCGCGGAATGGCAAGTACATGGCCTGCTGCCTCCTCTACCGTGGCGACATCGTCCCGAAGGATGTGAACACTGCGATCGCAATCATAAAGTCCCGACGTGCAGTTCGCTTTGTCGACTGGTGCCCCACAGGCTTCAAGGTGGGCATCAACTACCAGCCGCCCACCGCGGTGCCTGGGGGAGACCTGGCCAAGGTGCAGCGCGCCGTATGCATGCTGAGCAACACCACAGCCATTGCTGAGGCCTGGTCGCGCCTTAACTACAAGTTCGACCTCATGTATGCCAAGCGAGCCTTCGTGCACTGGTACGTGGGCGAGGGCATGGAGGAAGGCGAGTTCACAGAAGCTCGGGAAGACATGGCGGCACTTGAGAAGGACTACGAGGAGGTCGGGACTGACGGTGCCGATGTGGTGGAGGGTGAAGAGGAATACTGAAGAATTGTGCGTTTTTCGGTGGGCCATGTAATCTGTGCAAGCCTCGATGTTAAGTGCTTGAAAGCTGGTTGTAATTTGAAATGAGGTTTTTAGACTTTGAAAACAAAAGGTTATTCAACCAGGGTCCTGCGTTGGGCACACACGGGTGACCTGCAAAAGTGGGTGTAACTAAATACAGATTGGCGTGCTAATCGGACGTGATCCCAACGCGACTTCTGTTCTGACCTGGTTTGTGGCTCATCCGCAGGTTTATCCGTGGATGCCTGACCAATACAAGGGCTGACTGAAGCTACAGACCCTTCAAGCGTGGTTATTAATATAAATAGATGCATATACAAATGTTTTACTAATTGTGTTTTGTACACGTGTTTTTTTTTGGATACATGATTTGTTTTGTTGCCTGTCCAAATGTGAAATGACTATTTTAGATGTTTTGTCTCCATAATGCTTTGGTAAACTGTTTTTTGCAAAATAATAAAGGTTGAGCAATTATTGATTCGTAATCTCCTGTGACATTATTTGGACCGGTCGGCCATGATGCACGGGGGTCATGGGCCAAAGTTGAAAAATTACTTGAAATTATTACGTTAATTTACTGTACAGGCGTGTCCCGTTTAACGAGTTTGTATACCAATTCGTTTGAAGCAGCAATTTAATTTGGGCCAAATTCGTTGAAATCGAGCAAATTCATTACAGACGCTTAGGACCGGCACCTGTGAGCACTGGTTATTCGCGTGGTATTTCAGGTGTTTAACTAAAATGTTTGATTTCTCATGCTAAAGCTGTTAAAGAAAAGTAAACCATTTTTGGTTCAAAATCTAACTGTTTTTAATGAGGTCGATGAGAAAACGATCATTTAACGAATTTTTAAATGAGCAATTTTCGTATCTCCGCTCGTTAAGCGAGACGCCTGTACATGGCAATAGTTGCCCCCGCCCACCCCCTGCACAAACTTGGCAATATCCTTTATTGAAAGTCGGGAGGCTTTCCTTTGCGAACAAGCATAATAAATGGTGGGATATTCAATGTGGGTGGAAAGCGCATAACTTGGATGTTGCTGTACTGCTCTCTACTGCCCAAAATTCTAATTGCACCGGTTTATTTTCATCTAGGCTATCCATCCAAGCACTCCATGCTTGACCCTCAGGTTCTGAAAATTAGGGCAATTACGTGTGGTCTAGGTGTAGGGTGAGTATTTTTAACGTGACCTTTGGCCAATTTTCAGCATAACATCACTAAATGTGTGGTGACAGGAACGTAATAATTGTGTTCACAGCATCAAAGACCTTTCTTCCAAGTTTAAACCACTTGTTCACTACACTATGGCATTAATTTTAATAACACATGCACACGTACATTAGCAATGCATTTAAGTGTTGCCACTGGCCTTGGTGTCTTTAACATGATGAATGGTACACGTGACTAATTACATACAGGCATGTACATCTATCTGTAAAACGGTTCCGTGTAAAGTAATACATTTTAACTCGGTCAAATGCTATAGTAGTTGCTACCTTCTCTTGTATGTACCTCCTATTTAATACGCTTGTCACCCTGGCTGCACATCGCCGTGGTCTTCTGCTCTAGTGTTGGTGATAAATTACATTGTTTTACCGACACTGGACCAAAAGGGAGCGATTGCCAATTCATAATTAAGCCCAACATGCTGAGGCGAGAACTTCAACGACTAACGGAGCTGGACAACCTTAACTCTCAACTTTTTTTTTAGACGGGTAATATCTTTTGTTCCAAGGCTTTTGGACAAACGTGGCTTTCGCGTTGAATAATTCTACTCGGGTATGCTGGTCCGATCTGGCTCCTTGCTTGCCCCTGGTCCTGTGGTGATGACGGCAGAGGCAGCAGCTGGAGCAGGTCGCCCAGCCTGCCCGTTCCGTGCTGGCCCCAAGCTTTGCTTCTCCTGCAGCTGCCCACCTTTGCCGCGTTTCCACTTCATTCTTCGATTCTGGAACCAGATCTTCACCTGCAATTCAGTGTTCATACAGTTATGCTGTTTTAATCGCATTTTATCTATACAACTCCTTTTGAACAATTTTAAAGCACTAATCTGAGGAAGGCCTATAAACGCTTTTGCTGGTTATTGTACATATAGCTTTTGGAAGTGAGAACAAGTTGTGCGCACTGGTTGATGCGCTGTTATCCACGGAAATACTCTATTACCCTTGATAGTCATGGTTATGCAATTATTTCTCTGAAAATTCCTTCGGCCCGATTTTATGGCAGTCCACTGCCAGCTATTGATGGTTCAGCTCTTTATACCAGGGTCTGCTCCAAGTCTTTCTTTACAGGCTGAGAAAACAAAATCTAAACTAACTATCCAAGGTTATTTAATTCACCATGGTGCTCACAAAGTTGTAGACATTCGCCTATTGCTACTCTGCTAATTTGCGTAGTATCCCCTCCTTTCCAATGTTTCTAGTTAAATGTATTGGTTTGCGCAAGTGTTTTAAGTACGAGGCGCTGATTTAAACCCTTTGGGGTTGAGATGCATGTTATCAACCGAGTAATCGCGGTCCGATTTTTGACCGTGTGGCCAACAGTGGCGAGTAATCGCTGAAAACGGTGCTGGGCCCTTAACCACCTGCACTATCCAATGTAGTGACGTATGGTTAAATAACTATGGCCAACAAAGCACAACTTTTTTTTAACATGTAACGCATGAAAAGGGTCCACACGTAAAAAAAAAGTGTTTCATTAGTCTTCGTTTCTGTCCATCTCGTGCACCGTTATCTCCGTTTCGTATGCGAGTCCCCATTTGTCTCGGAGTCTCCTATATCTTAGACCGTTATTCCATGTCTCTGGCTGTTTCTGTGCATCTTCCTGCATCTCTGCTTTTCGCTCCGTCTCCCAAACCATATTCCTCAATGTCTGTGCCCATGTCTCTTAACCCTCTGCGTGTGTCTCTTTGTTTCACTGTTCATATCACTCCCCATTTCTCCATCCCTACCGTCCTCTCGGTTTCCCTCGGACACCTGCCTCCATTCACAAGGCCCCCATCCATTTAGTGCGGACACGGAATGTTACAGGCATTGCAATTCGTGGGACGGCTAGAGGAGGACACTGCGACACACCTGTGTTTCTGTGAGCATGAGCGCCGAGGCCACTTGGAATCTCTGCGGGCGGGACAGGTACCGCTGGCGGCTGAAGTGTCGCTCGAGCTCCAGGAGTTGCTGGCTGCTGAAGGCCGTGCGGGGCCGCCTGCATTTACCGGTCACTGCCATCGCTCCTACGGCACGGGCACACGTGTAGTTATGGATGTTAAACTTATTTCGTAGCGCATGTAGCCGACCGCACTAATTGGTGCAGGTGAAGGACAACGAACTAAACCAAAAGCAGTTCTAAAGAAATTAGTTTTCAATCTAGGTTGAAACGTGTGTAGCTCTAGCGGCTTTCTAAGATCGGAAGGAAAAGCATTCCAGACGGCCGCGGAAGCGCATCTGAAAGCGTGCAATGCGGTGACCGTCTGTTGGATGGCCCGCCAAAAAGCCGCTGCTGCGAGGATGACGAGGTTGTGCGGTGGTTAATGCTACTTGAGATCTGCAAGTTATTGGAGTATGGACGGGACCGCTCGACACAAAAGAGACAGCAATCGCAATTGTAGGGACTGGATTTGTATAAGAACGCCTATGAATTGGAAGTGGATCGCTCTAACCCCCACATCAAACTCGCATGCTAATATGGTGACACAATACGAATGACACAAAAACCAGCGAAACTTCAGAAATTATACTATAAAACCTAAGGGTTATTTACCTTTAAAAAAAAAAGAGAAATGAAGGGAGCTAGCTGCCAGGTGTTGAATGGTTGCCACAGTAGACTTGCAAGCAAGAGGCTGCTGGTTCTATCCCCCCCAGCCCACGCGGCAGTTGAAAGAGGCACGTTTCTTAAACTCCATCCCCTGCGCCTCTGTGCACTGGGCAATTAATTAGAAGCCGAATCTTTACTTAGAGTGGAGGAATCCATTAAGTTGTGAAGCTCTTTTTCACAGACGTCCAGTATGGGTGGGTCTAATCAAGTACGTAGCACTGTATTTAATTAGTGGGATAACGTGTTTGAAACTGCCAGCTCTCTTCCAAGATATCTGGCAAGAGTGAACGAGTAGGCTAAATATCTTCTTACCTAGAAACGTCATTTTTTGCCTGTGTGTGTGCGCACACTTGTGAAGGATTTGGCTCGCAAACTATGGGGTCTATATATTCTTGGTTCTTTCGGTAAAGTCACGTAGAAGGGAAACAATACAATAATAAAAATATAAAACAATACAATTCTCACGACGTTTCGACTGTGAAAACCACCGCAAGAAAATTTGAAAGACTTTATTTCAAATTTTCTTGCTGTGGTTTTCACACCTGATGATGATTGCTTGTGTTGCAGTCGAAACGTCGTGAGAATTTTATTGTTTTATATTTTTATTATTTTATTGTTTCCCTTCTACGTGACTTTACCGAAAGAACCAAGAATATGAATCCCTGCAGTCACGAAAGCTTTAAATTAAAATTTATGGAGTTTACGTTTAAAAAATAAATAGCTAGGTACCACACGGTAAGCCCCGCGGTGAGCAAGCGCTATTGTGTTTTCCCATCCATCAACTTTAAAGTACTAAAACGATTCTGTGCTGTTTTCGATTAATTACTTTATAGCGCTCGATCGACCATAGCAACTCGCACTCCTTCGGTGGAGGGGACGGCCCCTACAGAGTCGCACGCATTCATTTGGTAGGGAAGGGGGTGAGGGGGACATTTTCTTTGAGTTCAAATTCAATAAAAATACACCGCTTAAGGCTAATTCTTCACAGTGTGATGTCTTCTCCCCCACCCCGATGTGTGCAGTTACTACTATAGAGTCCGTAGATATTAATATTATAGCGCTTAGTATTGTCGCGCGGGGGGGGGGGGGGGGGGGGCGTGCGGCCCAGCCTACTAAGGTGCCACCTCGGCCGGCTGGGCAATCTAGGCGAGGCTGGGGCTTTGCACGGAACTAGGCCTCACGACGCCACTCAGGTTAGTAGTTTGCTCACACCACAGTCGGTATGCTCTGCCGTAATCATAGCAGGTACCACCACAGTCGGTATGAACTGCTGTAGTGAAAGCAGGCACCACCAAAGTCCGTATGCACTGCTGTAGTCATAGCAGGTACCACCAGTCGTTATGCACTGCTCTAGCGATAGTATATAGTACTATCGAGTTGGTAGATACTACTATAGAGTTAGTAGATACTAAAATAGTATATACCACTACGCTCGGTAAATACTGCTACAGTCAGATACTATCACGGTCAGTAGCTACTGCTATAGAGTCAGTAGATACTGCTATAGAGTTAGTTACTACTATAGTCAGTGGATATTACTATAGATTAGTTACTACTACAGAGTTGGTAAATACTTCTGTAGGGCCAGTAGATACTATTATGGGTAGTAGTTACCACTACAGTCAGTAGATAGTACTGTAGGACCACTGGATGCTACTACGGTCAGCAGTTGCTAGAGTCAGTAAATACTACTATACAGTCAGCAGCTACTACTGGCTCAGTAGATACTACTGTACAGTTAGTAGATACAACTACAGAGTCAACAGATACTCTGCTGTATGTAGGGTGTGTAGGTATATATACACGCGGGGGTAAATATATATTCTGAGGGGGGGTCGACAATTTTCGCAAACCTTTTAGATCAACTATTTACCCTCCACTTTCTATAACTTTTTGGACTTGTGCAAGCCTCTTATAATTTTGTTGGTGGAGAAATGGACAAACGGCCCACTGGGCTTTCACAATACCTTAGTATCTGTGTATGTATATGTAAGGTTTTTAAGATAAATTTTGGAATATATTTTTCGCCCGGGCAATGCCGGGTACTTCCCGCTAGTACCCTTCATAGCTCCCTCTAGCTGAGGTCCGTGTGCCAGCATCAGCGTGAGCAAGCGATTGCAGGGCTGCACACTTCCATGTTTTAACCGAATAACGTGGAAAAATGTACCACGCGGTGACTTAGACCGCTGTGCGGTTTGTATGTTCAAGCATGCCACTCAGTGCATTCATTACAGTATAGTACCAACATTAAACTGGAATTGGTTAGAGCTTCCAGATTTTTGAACGGGTGAACGATTATGAAAACGGTTACCCGGTTCAACGTTTAACAACCCGTGTCAAAACGAGACCAAAATATGGTCGATCATTGAACCAAACTGAATCCCCAATCATGCCAAGTCACCAAATAGTTGGGAGCTGGACTGTGCATGCTGTGACATAGTATCCCGTTACAATATTTTGCTTTCTCTCTACTGAAGAAACCCAATAGTACAGGCAAGAGAACAAAAGTATATCCAAAATCAAACAAGCGTGTAACTGCCCCAGTTCCGATTGGCGGCTCTCAACCAGCGATGGAAATTCCACAATTCCATTCGCAGCTTTTGTCAATAACGATGGCAGTAGAGTACCTAGAGTAACTCAAAGTATTGCACGCGGTGCCTACCACGCCAAGTCCTTCTTCCCTTGCAAGCAATGGCTGTGAAACTATACATCCACCCGGCATGCAACAATTCCCAGCAATGTGACAGGAACCTCCGTCGTGCGAGGAGGAGCGCCCCGATTACCGTGGTACTGGGGTGGCAGAGGAGGCAGCAGCAGAGCAGTGCCGGAGGCGCGCAGCCAAGCCTCCAAAAACACCGAGCCGCTGGGGCCACCCCGCGCTCTCGCCTCGGGCCCCGGGAACGCGACCCCCAGGCCCGCCCTGTGCTGCACGTGCACGAGGTGGTGTGGCCCGGCCTCCCGGCACGCGTAGGCGGCCTCCCCGCTCGCAAAGCTGTGACCGAGCGGTGGCAGCGTACGCTGCTCTTGCAGGGCGTGCAACTGCTGCTGCTGCGTGTGCTCGCAGTGCATGGACTGGTGCAGGTGTCCCGTGTCCCTGGGCACCATCCCATGATGTTGCTGCTGATGGTGGATATGATGCTGGAGGTGCTGTCCATGGTGCTGGCTGCTGTAAGTGCTGCAGGGCTGAGGATACACTGTCCCACAGGGTTCCTGGGCCACGCACGGGCTGCAGGGGGAGCGGCAGGGCGGCACGGGGCTCGGGCAGGGCGTCGGGGCAGACCCGCGCCGGGAGGAGGAGCAGGAGGAGGGCGGGGAGGCGAGGAGAGCGTCGATCCGGAATCCCTGCGACTTGGCCATCTGAGATGGGACTTGCAGCCAACGCGTGAGTGCAGCCTTAATAGGTGCTCGCTAATTGCACTTGTTCGAGCAGTCGATGCAGGGTACGTGCAAGATACTTTTCTTCTTGCTGACTTATTCGTGGTTGAAACCTGCACTTATTCGATCAGTCGATGGTGATGGATATAAAACAAAAATCAGTATTTGTCTGGGTAGCCTTAATAAGTGCTTTATAACTGCCCGTGCCCCAATAGTTTATGCATATGAATGGTAAAAAGGCCATGTTTATCTCGAATGTAATATAATCTGCACCCAAAAGCATCCACTCGATGTACCTTAAAATATATTTTTTAATACACGCTATACTGTATCGTGCTGCATAGACGTGTAAGTTGGAGATGTTTTCACCTTGTCATGATACAAATATTTATCTCAGGTTTATTTTATATTCTTCCTCTGCAAAGTAATTGCTGTTCCTACAGACCACGATGCATTTACGTCTTCAGACTCGAATAATTCTCGCTCATTCTTGTTGCATCTAAATTATCTACACTATACTGACTACATATCAACTTGTCTGTGTTGTGTATCTCTCAAACCAAAGTATCCCTCACATCATTCTCCTCCGATGCTGAACTCACCTGCCACCCGCTGGCCACTTGTACACACGTCCTTATCCAGTACACAGCAGATCTACTTGACCGTCCTCTTAGTGTGAGACACGGTCGGAAATTCCGTCCGTACCAAGGAGGTGAGCGTGGGTTGTGCGACGAGGAGGCACCGATAGCCGTAGTGGATGTCAAGTGGCAAGCAGGTGCTCCATCAAGGGAGAGTAAGGCTGGAAGAGGGAAGCTGAGATCAGGGTGGGTGTTCCATTTGTGGGGGGAGTGCCAAGAGGATACATTTACATATTTTATCTGGCAATCACAAACATGAGTGGGGCGGTGGCACAGTGATTAGCACACGGCACGATGAAAAACTTGTTTTAGATTCCACGGCTAACATCAATGGCGAGTAATAAGTTACCCGTGGCGAATGATATTATAAGTCTTAATTTGAAGCTTTCGTGACTGCAGGAATCCATACTCTTTGGTTCTTTCGGTAAAGTCACGTGGGTAGACAAAATAATAGATGATATTGGCAGTAAATAGAGCGAGTGCTGTAAATTACTATGATCAATATGAAGGTATACCATGTAGCCGATGAGATGGGCTGACTCAGTGGTTATCTTTCACCATAGAAAGGTAAACGCCCAAAAAATAAATACATTTAGGACCATAAAACCAGTGGATGGTTGGGAATCGACTCAGTCCTTCATCCACCTGACATTGATGAAATAGGCACTACTTTGTGGGAAGTCCACCGTGGTGTTTTTTATTTTATTTATGAACTTGTCCCAATGATAAGTGAGATATTCACCAAAGGATTATGCCTCATGATTGTTTTAGCAAATACGTGTCAACAGTTTATTTTATATGTATACCACGGGATTAATTTGTGATAATGAGCTATTATATCTGCCACTTGAGTGAAAACTGCTGTATTGAAAAATAACCCCGCTTCCATAGGCAGGCATGGTGGTGCTATTCACACCAAACCTGATAAGACGAAGTGCTAAATGTGTTCTTAGTGATAGGGGTTTGGTTAGTGGGGGTGCTAGTGCTACTGGCCGATTGGATAGTTGGTTAGCATAAATGGGAGTGGTAGTGTGTTGCTAGTTAGAGTTATCATCCATGGGAGGAGTAAAACTATTGACTGACTGGCTAGTTGCCTATGGTTATGGTCTTTGGAAGTTAGTTGGTTCAGGAAAGGGCTCGTGCATTGTTGCGCATAGAACATCATTTTATGAGTATACTACGTGCGTTCCACCCCCAAAATGCTCACCTCTGCCATTTGAATATATCGCAACTTCCCTTTGCTCACGTTTCCTTTCTGTTTACAGTGCTCGTCTGTAATCCAGTGCTTTCGGGGTGAGGTTTGTGGATCGCAGAAATATTATCATGCGTGATACTACGAACCTGCTGTCCTGTGAGGGTAGCCAGATGGTAATCCACAAAATGGGTCTGTTTGCATTTTGAGTATTATCCCCTTTGAATATGTGGATATTATCAGAGTACGTTGGTTACCTCCCACATGTAGTATACTCATAAACTATGTTCTATGCAGGGCTAGCATACTTGTCAAAGCGTTGAGTAACACATTACAGATTACCAAAGGCTGATGCTAGTAATCGAATACAATTTACAGCACGTAAATCGCAAATCCATGTCAGTGGGCATGTACTGGTTGCATTGTGTAGGATTGTATAAGTTTTTATACAAAACAATGTCACATTAACAAATTAATGTCTTAAACAGTTCCCAGTTTAAGAGCTGCACTGAATTTCACTCTAAATTAGTTAATTCTATTAATAATTTTGTAAAACGTAACACAGTCCAAATTCTCATACATTCGCAAGTGTCGTGTATCATAATAATGCCTCGTTTAATCAAGGAAAGCCTCACTGAGTCAGACTCCTCTTTTCAGGAGGGTCTTTGACTGGGATGTTTGGCAAATTAAATAAATGATTGGGATGTAAAAAGAAGCCAGAGGACCTGGAGAAAATCCCACACATACGAGGGGATAAATACTTAAAGCACTACACAGATGATTCAAGAATACTTTAGAGTCAGAAGCCAGTGATGCAAATGCCATGTTCGTCGGAGGGGTTAGTTTATTTGGACAACTGTCATTTTGCTTTTGCAAAAGTAAAACCTCATCAGTTCACATCAATTAAGCTCAGTTGATGATGACTATTGATATAAGGTTAAGTCAACCCTGGCCAGGATTGAACTCACAATCGTGTGGTCAATTCCAAAGCCCCATGCAGGCTACAAGCTGGTGGTCAGTATACCAACACAATCTCCTAATGATATAAGTGGCCAGTGCATGACTGACTGTGGGTCCCAAAGGGCCTATTCCATGCATTACCTCCCCTCCTGGCTCCCCCACCCATCTGCAATAGCCTCTCAACGCCGCTGCCCCCTCTATTACGCAGATAAATTGTTTAATTCAATTAGGGGACATACGTCTCCCGTGAGACGTGACCGTTCGTTTAAGCTCTGCCTTACAAATAAGCGCCACTTAATTTAGGAATTAAACACCTCCGACCGCACCACGCCGATTTATGTGAATGCCAACGTTCATGGGATTAATTTTTAGTAATGTGCTGTACAATCGGCCCTAATAACGGTTAACAAGTGCCTTATGATTCCAGTGGCGAAACTGCTTATTTGGCCATCAAAACAGAATGGTGCGTGATTGCAGGCAGGCACTGATGCAATAGTACTCCCACTGGAGTAATAAGATTACTAAAAGTAGGTGCTGGCATACTTGTGGTATTACGCCGTTCACTCTGTGTAATGAGATTACTGTTAATCATCATGTATCGGTTGATTGTATTTTACAGAAAACGCCCCTTAAAAGGTATTCGTCAGGTCTTCTTAAGCAGGATCATGCAAAAATAAATGTGAGTATTTCTTCATCATCAAATCGCATCGTTAATTATTACTTTCATTTGAGAAAATACATCTGATACAATTCTAAAATACATTACAGCATGGGTTAATGCAAGGGCACCAATAGGCTGTTAATTTCGAAGTTGCATAAACCTAAGCTGCATTAATTTAAGCAAAGTACAGTGATTGTAAAAATAATTCATCATGTCACCTTGTTTTGAAAATGCTATACCAAATATCTCTCGTTATCAGTAATTGTAGTATGATTACTGATCACGAGTAACCATCGTAATCTGGGCATGTACATAGAGTGCAGCATTCACTCGTTTAGTCCAGCATTCGGGCTCAGGGTTGGTGAATCCCATTCCCCTATCCCCCCAGTCCTGACCTCATTTTACTACATTTTGATTCATGAGTGTGTGGACTACAAGATCCTTGTCCTCGAGTGCAAATCCACCCACAGCCTTGCCCCCCCCCCCCCCCTGTCCTCCTCTTCCTTTACAATATTCGCAATCCCTACATTCCATCCCACTTCCTCCACTCCATAAACTAAATTATCTATATATTTTTAAACTAAATTTTTATTTTTTTATTTTACCCGGTAAGCCCCGCGATGCTAGGTAACTCTTTTTCAGAAGCGACCTGGCCTCAAATGACAGGTCAACTAATCGGCTTATGTGGACATTGTTTATAGCAGCCAAAATACTTGAAACGCATGTTTCTAAATGTGGAGGGAAAAACCGGAGCACCCGGATAAAAATCCACACAACCACGGGGAGAACATGCAAACTCGCAAATATACAGGCGTCAGGGTCGGGATCGAACCCATGTATTCCTGCATACCAGGCGAGGGAGTTAATATATCGCCACCGTGGCCGACCCATAGACACTGGCCTCCTCCATGACCCCACCACACTCGTTAGAAAAAGGACCTACTGTGATCGGGTATTACACTATGTAGGTGACAAGAACACACAAAAAAACACGAAGTTGAGGTGACACCTAAACAATCAGTTGGGCAACTTGGTTGCACGTGACTGAATTGTTGCAGACATCTCTGCAACCAGTTGCAAGCAGTTTCACAACCTGCAGCTTACATCAGATTCACATCTGTAAATGACGAAAAAAAGCATCACAACAGAAAAATTGTACAGGCTGGAAAATAATATTTTAAATAAAACGCTACTGTATGTACAAAAAACTCTAAGCCTTAAGCATCATCCAAAGCCACCAGTTCACCAAGTACTGCATTGTGCTTATATTGTCTTACGTTATCATCAATAAATTGAGAAAATTTGATGAACCAACAGGGAGCAGTGAGTGAGACAGAGACTGTAGTCCAGTTTCGTCCTTATTAGGACTCAACAGTAGAGTACAGTAACTAATGGTCACATTAGAGATATGACGTCACAAAGCTCTGCCCCCCCCCCCCCCTAAAACCATATTTCCATTTTGAAAATAAACACATGCTTCAAATCACTTGAAACTATTGTCATTGTAGTGCGTATTTAATGTGGCGCTGCACTCTGATGCTGTAGGAGAAAACACGTATTAAAAAGGAGTTGGAAAGCTGAAATTTAGCATAAAATTCACTTGAAAATATTCAACGCCTAACTAAAACTGCAGATGTTCAGAATATTATATTGAAATTCTCTTATAATTATAAAATATTAAAAGTAATTATAACTATAAAACATACTTGAAACTTTGTAGTAGAACGAAGCAAAATGTAGAGTACAATTATAACAATCACATATTCAAGCCCTGGTAGAATCATTAGAATCAAAATGTTTAATAACAATAGTTCAAAATTTTTACAAAATTTATGCTTCTCCATTCTCCCATGGAGAAGCAAAAATGCTCTTCATGGAATAAATAAAAGGTGACCTTAGTCAATTTAAATGATCAAATAGTTAATATTGAAAATGAATCAAAATTAGTGTTATAACAATTATATTTAATTTATATTTAGTGAAAGTTGCGCATTTTGATGTGACGTCACATTTCTCCACCCCCCGCCCCTTCGTCACACGTCACAAATGTCTGACCCCCCCCCCCCCCCCCCAGGTGCGTGATGTCATTTATGGACGGCCCCTTAATAACATGTTTGTAAATGTGACAACCTTGTCGGGTAGTGGAAGGACAATAGCAATATTGGCATGTGGGCTAATAAAAATACAAATATGGATGAAATACACTGCATTAAATAATTTTTGGGGATTCTTGAAAATGTACAAGCCTAAAACAAACCCAATTAAGCCAAATGTAATAGCACATCTCATGGAATTATTTTAAGCACATGTCCCTCGACAGCACTAGTCTTGAAAGCCGAAGAGGCCAAGCGATCAAATAAATATATAATTTAGGGTGCCTATAAATAATTGATCATATTTAGAGACTTATCCCAACCATAGGAATGTGGAATTTTCAGAATCCTCAACGTTCTTGTTGAGCCATAATCAGCCAACCAGCATTCACGCACGTGCTAGTCAACTACCACGGGCGAGTTCGTCAGCCGAGGAGTTCCACTGTCACGTGGGCCGAGCGGGGAATCCCCTGCGTCACGTGACGGAGTGGGGATAACGTGCGATTATAATTACTTACGGGACAGGCGTAGATAAAATGTATATCACTGAGGTTTTTTTTTAATTAGTAATTTGGTTACAAAAGCTAATGGCTAACAAAAAATAATGTATCATGCTCTTGTGTACAAAGTTTAACTTCCGGGGCAACAACGCTACGGTTGGGACGTGCAGCTGAAACGGCGCATGGTTCGACTTCCGGAGCGCCGTGTAGGGGGAGGGTGTAGACGTGACGCACGTCCGGGATGTTGCGACTTCCCCCCCCGGTGGTCGATGTGATTGGAGAGGGGGG